AAGAAGAAGAAGAAGAAGAAGAAGAAGAAGAAGAAGAAGAAGAAGAAGAAGAAGAAGAAGAAGAAGAAGAAGAAGAAGAAGAAGAAGAAGAAGAAGACAAGAGAGTGAGAGAAAGAGAGAGAGAAAAGTCGATTGCGACTGTTTGTGCGTCTTGTTGATACAATTTGTCTTGCCTATGGGGAAAAGGGGGAAGGGGGTTGCGATGGGGCCGGCAGGGCATGAAAATAGGACATGGAATTGAGAAGGCTTTGTCTGGTCGGTGCAACGAAGCGTGTGTACCTGCATCGCATGGTAGGCCACTTCAATCGTAGGCCTCTTCTGCCGACTGCCGCACCAGCTGTCGAACCTGTGAGGAACCGGGCCGTCAATCACCGGCGAAGAATGAGATGGACGAGGAAATGGAAGCCCACCTTCTTCCGATAAGCCTTGATGTCCTCTGACGATTCAAATGATGAAGGATGGCCAGCAGTTTGGGAGAGGAATCGACGAGGTCAGCAACAGGAGGCGAAGTAGGTGCGCAGCGACACTCACCTCTGACCTGCTTGGCCGCGTCGACGTTGGCTGGCGAGTCGCAGTTTGGCGTGTCCGAGGAGAGAAGGCTGATGACGGAGAGGAGCTGTAGAGTACCGAGCATCTGTGAGCTGTCTGCACGATCATTAGATGACCACACAGGCTCACAATCGACTCGACGGTGTGCACAGGCATCCACCTCTCGCCCGCGTCTTCGTAGCCCCACTCGTCTGTGCCAGGCGCATGGAGGATCGAAATACAGACACCGCCGTCGTCATAGATGTTGGGGTGCCACATCTTGGTAAGGAATTTCATCTTGGGCGGGAGCAAGGGGTACTCCTGCATCTTGAATTGTCAGTCTAACGAAACAGAACAGGTTCCCTAGGGGAAGGAACACGGCGACGACCCATGCGTACCGGTGGAAAGATGAGCTCGGCTCGGAGGAAGCCGCCTTCGTAGAGGGTGTCTGGAAGGGTCGCCGAAGGAGAAAAAGAGCGCATGCATGAGCCCGTTTGCCCACCATACTGCCGAGATTTGTCTGTAATCCTCACCGTTTGGCCCGATGATCATGATCTCCCACTGTGTCACTGATGATCAACTTTCACGACAGATCGGACATGTACAGGGTCGGCACAAAGCATGTACATACCTCGTACAGGTTGCTCTCATCCTTTAAGCCGGCGCTGAAGCCATCGACTGGGTCTGCGAGCGAACAGAGTAATGGCAAGGAAGGCGTCAGCGGTGTTAGAGATTGACCGGGGGAGAGGGGGAAACGGGATGGGGAGGGCGAGAGCGTCATTTGAAGCGCTCTCGCTCTTACCGGAAGCCGCACTTACGCTTTCGAAGCTCGTTCAACTGCCGCTTGAGCAGCAGGGCATTGCCGCTAGGTGCCGAAGCCATGGCGTCTATGCTTCTGACGGCGCTCCCGTGGCGCGTGAAGAAGTGGCGATGGCGTGTCGTGCAGTCCAAGAAGTAGAGCTGATAGCGTTGGTCGTCGCGTCACTCGACCTCGTCCGTTCGACCAAATTTAGTATGAGGTGAAAAGGTCGTTCCAACACGAAAATGAGCGACTTGCTCCACCCTCGTCGTTGATACAGACCATGCACTGGTTGTAAAAAGGTAGAGCGCCAAACGCCAGTGTAGTTCGCCTGTCGGAGAAGCGACAAGACGGGTAGCTTACTACGCAAGGCAGGACTGCAAGCAGCAGGAGATGGTGCAGCGAGAGCGTGGCACGTGCCTCAGAACCCTCTTGATTTTTTGTTTTATTTTTTGTTTTTGCCTCCTCTGCGTGCCGTCATTTCCTCCGCCCTTCTCGCAACATTGCCCAACTGCAGTGACGCTATGGCGCCCAAGAAGCAGCCGGCGCGTCAGCGGCAGCCGGCGAAGAAGAAGCATCCGGAGGAAGGAGAAGACAGGACGGGAGACGTTGAAGAGTGGGCTCTTGGCAACAGCAGCGGCAGCGGCAGCGGCGTGAAGCTCGACGAAGACTCGCAACGGCAAGATCCAGATTACGATGAGGTGCCGCTATCCCGTTATTTCGAAGCAAAAGACGCTGTTGCTCGCGAGCAGAAGCCCAATCAGGATGTCAGACTGCCCGAGGCCCAGTGGTCATCGAAGATGTCGGATTTGGCGAGCGCGATGGCGCGGAGCGGGCAAGGCGACGACATTGCCGCAATAAAGGCCAAGGCACTGTCTGGGAAGGGCCTGACGGACCCCATCAAGAGGGTAGAGGTGGGTGTCGCCCTCGTCGTGTGGCAGTTGGTCTGAGCCATACACTGACAAACTTCTTCCGCGGGGGGCTTGACAGGACAAGTGGGAGCTTCTTCCCGCCTTCCTCCAGGTCAAAGGTCTCGTCAAGCAGCACATTGACTCGTTCAACTTCTTCATCGACAAGGACCTCAAAAACATCGTCAAGGCCAATGACCGTGTCACTTCCGACATCGATCCAAAGTTCTTTCTGAGGTACACCGACATTGAGGTGGGCATGCCCGAGCGCAGCGATGCCGATGCGACAAACAAAGAAGTGTTTCCTCACGAGTGCCGGCTGCGCGACATGACATACAGCGCCCCAATCTTGGTCAAAATCGAATACTACCGGGGTGGCAAGACGGTTCGTCGGCGCAATGTCTGCATTGGCAAGCTGCCCATTATGCTTCGCAGCAACCGATGCTGGCTCAAGGACCGAAGCGAACGCGAGCTCGCTGGTATGAACGAGTGTCCTCTGGATCCCGGCGGTTACTTTGTCGTAAAGGGAACGGAAAAGGTTATTCTTGTGCAGGAGCAGCTCAGCAAAAACCGTATCATCCTTGAGGCGGACTCCAAAAAGGGCACCGTCAATGCCAGCGTCACGAGCTCCACACACGAGCGCAAGTCAAAGTCTTATGTCCTGACAAAGCACGGCAAGATCTACCTCAAGCACAACTCCATCAGAGACGATATTCCCATCGCAATTGTTTTCAAAGCTCTGGGCATCCAGTCGGATCGTGAGATTCTGCAATTGTGCGCGGGAAACGACGATGCATACAAGGAGACATTTTCAATCAATCTCGAGGAAGCCGCTCGGGCGAAGATTTACACGAGCAGACAGGCACAGAACTACATTGGTGCAAGAGTCAAGCTCAATCGGAAGCCGACGATGATGCGCAGGCCCATTTACGAGGACGCCATCGATGTCCTCGCAAACGTCGTCATGGCCCACGTTCCTGTCGAGCGGCTCAATTTTAGGCCCAAAGCCATCTATATTGCCACCATGGTCCGACGGGTCATCATGTGCATGCACAATGACAAGCTCGTTGACGACCGCGACTACGTCGGTAACAAGCGTCTGGAGCTAGCCGGTCAGCTCCTCGCCTTGCTGTTTGAGGATCTCTTTAAGAAATTCAACCACGACCTGAAACTCAACATTGACAAGATCCTCAAAAAACCGAATCGGACCCAGGAGTTTGACGCATACACGCAACTGAGCTTCCACAACGAGTCGATCACAAACGGCTTCGTCCGCGCCATCTCGACGGGAAACTGGAGCTTGAAGCGTTTCAAGATGGAGCGTGCCGGCATCACCCATGTCCTCAGTCGACTGAGCTTCATTTCAGCCCTTGGAATGATGACGAGGATAAGCTCTCAATTTGAGAAGACGAGAAAGGTATCAGGTCCGAGGGCACTACAACCGAGTCAATGGGGAATGCTGTGCCCTTCGGACACTCCCGAAGGAGAGGCATGCGGTCTAGTCAAGAATCTGGCTCTCATGACACACATTACCACTGACGTCGACGAGGAACCAATCTACAAAGTGGCGTTTATGTTGGGCGTGGAAGACATCAACCTCATCACGGGTGCCGAGCTTTACCGCCATGATTCCTTTGTCGTCTACATCAACGGCTGCGTTCTTGGGTTGACCCGATTCCCCGTTCGTTTTGTACAGAGCTTCCGCAAGCTGAGGCGAGCCGGCAGGATCTCCGAATTTGTCAGCATCTACACCAACAGCCACCATCGTGCTGTTCACATTGCTTCGGACGGCGGCCGCATCTGTCGTCCGATGATCATCGTCGAGGCCGGGCGGCCCAGGGTCACAACGGAGCACATCAAAGACCTGAAAAGAAAGGAGAAGACCTTTGACGACTTTCTGAGCGAAGGACTCATTGAGTATCTCGATGTCAACGAGGAGAACGACTCTTTTATTGCTCTTTACGAAGACAACATTACCGACCAGACGACACACCTCGAAATTGAGCCCTTTACGCTCTTGGGTGCCGTGGCCGGTCTGATCCCGTATCCTCACCACAACCAGTCACCAAGAAACACGTACCAAAGTGCCATGGGCAAACAGGCGATCGGAGCCATCGCATATAATCAGCTCAACCGCATCGACACGCTTCTCTACCTCCTCGTCTACCCGCAACAGCCCATGGTCAAGACCAAGACGATTGAGCTCATAGGCTACGACAAGCTACCGGCCGGCCAAAATGCCATGGTCGCCGTAATGTCATTCTCGGGCTACGACATTGAAGACGCACTCGTGCTCAACAAAGGCTCTATCGAGAGGGGCTTTGGACGTTGCCAAGTGCTTCGCAAGCAAACAACGCAGATCAAACGCTACCCGAATGGCACCTTTGATCGTTTCGCCGATGCCGCCGTGGACGCTGATGGCAACAAGGCGGCGCGATATCAGACGCTCCAAGCCGACGGCATTGCTGGTGTGGGCGAGAGGCTAGAGGAGGCCGACATTTATGTCAATAAGCAAGTGCCAGCCAACGCAAACGACAACAGCGCGGCGGCCATTGCCAACAGCGCCACAGCGACAACGGCAGAGTACAAGCACCAGCCGATGGTGTACAAGAATAAGGTGCCGGCGTATGTCGATCAGGTCCTCATCACCGAATCAGAGATGGACCAGACACTGGTCAAAGTGCTGCTTCGCCAGACGCGCATACCTGAGCTCGGTGACAAATTCTCGTCTCGCCACGGGCAGAAGGGTGTCTGCGGACTCATTTCGCCGCAGGCAGACATGCCCTTTACCGACCAGGGCATCAACCCAGATGTCATCATGAATCCCCACGGGTTTCCTAGTCGCATGACGGTAGGAAAGATGATCGAGTTACTGTCCGGCAAAGCCGGCGTTATAACCGGCAAGCTCCAATACGGCACGGCGTTCGGAGGATCCAAGGTCGAAGACATGTCGCGAATCCTAGTCGAGAACGGCTATAGCTACGCGGGCAAGGACTTTCTCACCAGCGGTATCACTGGCGAACCGATGGAGGCATACGTCTACTTTGGGCCCATCTACTATCAGAAGCTCAAGCACATGTGAGTGACTCCTCGGTGACCCCAGTGCACAGGAGTGAATGAAAGCTGACGAGACGGTTCGCACACAGGGTCATGGACAAAATGCACGCCCGTGCCAGAGGCCCGCGAGCCATTCTGACTCGACAGCCCACCGAAGGACGTTCGCGTGACGGTGGCTTGCGGCTGGGTGAGATGGAGCGAGACTGTCTCATTGGCTATGGTGAGTGTTCTATTGAAGATCGATCACCGTACGCATGCAGTTGTTCATCTGGTCCATACCCCTGCAGGCGCCACACAGCTGTTGCTGGAACGTCTGATGATCAGCTCAGACGCTTTTGTCGTCAATGCCTGCCAGCGATGCGGTCTGCTGGGTTACAATGGCTATTGCGTTTACTGCAAGTCATCCAAAGATGTCGTCAAATTGACGATTCCCTATGCAACCAAGCTCCTTTTCCAGGAGCTCATGGCCATGCAGGTCGTCCCTCGCCTCGTCCTCGAGGATGCGGTCTAGACGTTCGCTGTCTAATTTACTTTGCACTTTCGCTCGTCCTTCTTAATCTTTTCCCTCATCGTCATTATCATCCTTACCAATTGTACTGTACAATACCAAATCAATTCTTCCAAATCCACCCAGGAACAAAGTGCTTCCGCTCGTCCTCGCCACAACGAACTCAATCAGAATGCGTCTCCGCCATGGCCATTCGATAAGGGCTCCCTTCAAACGTTGTGACCCTTCAGATGCGATTGTGGGGTAGAGATGCACAGATTTTGAGTCTGCTAACTTCAATCACCGAACGGCTGCAACGGAGAGGAAGAGGAGGCTCTCGAATTTATCCACCCGTCAAAAGGCTTGGCGGAACGAGAGGAGAGGAAGCCAAATTAATAGATTTGGAATGGCTGGAAAGCCACAACGCGCCAGGTAAAAGTTGCTACCGCGCTGCCCCCACGTCCTTGCTGCAAGGCTGGGTGGGGCCCAGCCTCTTTTTCCCCGCAAAAGCGGGGTGCTGTCATTCTACTGTAGCACCAGCTACTAGGTGAGTAGCAGCCCAACACGTCGTCCTATTAGCTGCAATAGAAGTGCGCACTACACACTCGTTGCGGCTAAAATGTTGTGGCTGGGAAAGAACAAGGAGAGATGGTGAAGGGAAGAGATTACCGGGCAAGTGGGACGTCGGAGGGTTTGAAGCGCCGCTAGACGGATAAAATAATGGGTGCAACAGTGGGAGACAGACGAAGAGCGGCCCCATCTGGGGCGGCGGACAGCTTTTGTTCAAGGCTGTGTGAAGGGATCCTGATCAAGGCAGAGGGCGCCCATGTAACAACAATGCAGCAATCTAGGGTTTATAAAGAGGGAGTGATCGGACCCTTCACAACTTCCAATTCCTCCTATCTCTTTCCTCGCACCCTTTTCTCTTTTCAACTCCCCTTACCACAACGATGAATGACCTTGGGCGACCGAACACATCGGGCAGCTACCAGAGCGACGACGACAAATCACCCTACGGAGAAGGACTCACCTCCGTCACGCATTTGGGAGCCACCGAGGCCCAACCCCACCAGCACCAGCAGCCTTCAATCGACATCGATGACGGTTTCGATCCAGCCTACGTCAAGCGAGTCATCCGTAAGGTCGACTTACGCCTCGTTCCCTTCCTAGCTGCCTGCTACTCTATTTCTCTCATTGATCGGTGAGCCCTAGACCATTTTCGAGAGGCTCGTTCGATTTACTGACCCTGTGACGGTGTCACCCTTCTCTCCAAACAAAAAAAAACAACAACCCTTGCCCTATCTCAGGACGAACATCTCGCTCGCTCGTGCAGCCGGTATGGGCAAAGAGCTGAAGCTCAGCATCGGCGAGCGGTACTCGATTGCTGTGCTCGCCTTTTTCATCCCGTACATTTTGCTTGAGCTTCCCAGCCAGGTGGGCCTACGCAAGTTCGGCGCGGCCATCTGGCTCTCGTCCAGCGTCCTGCTCTGGGGCGTCGTCATGATTGCAATGGGTTTTGTTCACAACCATCATCAGCTCGCGGGCCTGCGTGCCCTGCTGGGTGTTTTCGAGGCGACTCTCTTCCCCGGCTGCGCCTACCTTATCAGCTGCTGGTACATCCGACGCCAAGTTCAAGTGCGCTTGTCGATCTTCTACGTCACCTCCGTCGCTATCTCGGGTCTGTCCGCCATCTTGGCCTATGGCCTAGCACAGCTACACGGTCGAGCCGGACTCTCTGGCTGGAGATGGATCTTCATCATTGAGGGCATCATTACCGCTTTTGTTGGACTACTCGGCTACCTTATCATCGTCGACCTTCCGGACAAGGCCAAGTTTCTCTCTGAGGATGCAAAGCAATTGATCCTCACCCGCATTCAACGCGACCGATCCGACGCGCAGCACGATGCCCTCACGCTCAAGAAGACGGCTCGCTATGCCCTTGACATCAAGCTCTGGGTTTTCGCACTCATGTTTGGGGCAAGCACAACTGGCTCATATGCCCTCTCGTATTTCCTTCCAAGTATCCTTGCCGGGATGGGCTTCGACACAAAGTTCAGCCAGATCCTCGTCGTGAGTTTAGCTCCCCTAGTGACACTTGTCATCTTGTTTCTTCAGCTGATGATGTCTGGCAGGCTTTCCCTTACATCTACGCTATCATTCCCGCCGTCACGACGGGATACCTGTCTGACAAGACACAGATTCGCTCAATTTGGATCGTCATCAACGCCCTCCTGGCAATCATGGGCATGGCGCTGTTCACATTCCTGCCTCGCACCATGGTCGCTGGGCGCTACGCGGGTGTCTTTTTGTGCTGCGGTGGAGTCAACTCTAACGTTCCCCTTGTCATTGGCTGGAGCCAGGTCAGCATCCGTCAACAGTCGAAGCGTGCATACACTTCCGCTCTCATTGTCGCCTTTGGCGGCGTTGGAGGAATCGTCTCGGCACTCGTCTTCATGGAGAAGCAGGCACCCACCTACAGGATCGGAATCTGGTTCACGATCGCCGCCCACATCTTCATCATTGTCGCATGCGCCGGTCTTTCGAGCTTCTTTTCCTTCAGGAATAGGAAAGCAGACGCAGGCGAAGTTGTGCTCGAAAATCATCAAGGGTTCCGCTACCAGCTGTGATATGTTTTTAGATGTCAGCCAGCATACTGTAGGATGTCATCATTTCTCGTTAGCAACGTCAAAGAATCACTTCTTCTCCTTCCCGTGCCTTACTGCATTGGTCCAAAGACATGACTTTTGTCTCTCATTGCTAGTCGAGACGCACGGCTGGATAATGATTCTGCAGTGGTATATGCTAGCTAGCTTTACTGATACAGTACAGTTCCTACACAATCTCCTGCGCCCTTTGCACCACGGCTTTCGTCCGACCCAGCTCTACCTTAATTCCCCTCCTTACTTCTTCATTTGCGACTTTGCGTTCCAGCGCGGACAGGACTCTCCCGCTGAAGTCCACGTAGTCTTTACCCCTCGTGTGTCCTTTGCCCTCCGCAGAGGAAGAGATGACCTCCTCGACATAGATTCTCAAAGAGGAGAGGAGCGACGAGAGACCACCGACGACGCGCTGTGCCACGACTTTGTCCTTGTCGTTGGCGAGAGTCTTGTCGACGTTCTCGAGGATGCACAGCAAGAGGTCGAGCCTCGTCTTCTTGAAGTGTTCCTGTCTCTTCTCGCCACCGTCACGGAAGTTGGACCCTTCGAAGAGTTTCACGTCCATCTTTGCCAGCATCGCTGTGAAGTCCGGCAGAACGACAGAGAGGCGCCTTGCAACAATTGACGCAAACCAGATGCTCCACATATCCTTGCTAAGCTCGTCGAAGCGGTCTAGCTCGTTTTTCTGCTCGAGGAGATGAAGCACGTTCCAGAGAAAGCGGAGGCCTACTTCGCGCTTGTGAATACCGTGCGAAAGATTCTTGAATGATTCTTTGCCACCGAAGTTGACGTAGCCTACCCAAGAGCGGGCACCAGACGAGGAGGCAACAACTGCGGACGCGAATGAGACCCATACGTCAATTGCCGCTTCGAGAGATTGGCGTTGCTCTTCTCCATCGTCGTCTTTGGTAACTATTTCCAGTTCCTCGTCTTCTTCATCGTCGGAGCAAGCCAGCACGTATGCTCTTGAGCCGATCCGATCAGGGTGAAGGGAATTTGTGATGAAGCGAAAGATGGCAGGGGAAATCCTGCTGGCGGCAAGCTCTGCAAATTCTCGATCCTTTCGCCTGACAAGGATCCCATCCTGGTCTTCCTGCCGTTGAGAAGAGGTCGTTGGCGCTGCGCCTGCCATCGCTTCAGCCCCTACATCGAGCATCCGGGCCAAGGCTGGATCGTCAAAGTCGACTTCATCGAACAATTCTGCATAACTATCCTGACTGTCCTCGTCTTGTGCCGCTGCGGGCTGGACGGTCGAGCTGGTGATTGCCGCTTCTTGAACTGCCTCACTTCTTGCTTCGAGGAAGCGCCAAAGACATGCGAAAGCCTCGCGGGCAATGTCGGCGCTCATGATCGCCTGCGAGTCGAACAGCTTCTCCGTCCAGGCGGGGTCTATCAGTGATACATCTGGATACCTGACTCGACGTGACTCCTCGTGCTGGCAACTGTGCCTTAAGCCGGGATGACGAATCACGTACTGGACAGAGCGAAGCGATGCCTTGAGCAGGTTCGTCACCTCGCCAACCCTCCTGCCGTATGCAAAGCTCTGTCCCGGCTCGGGTCTCGTTCTTTGTAGCTCGTCGAAATCGGTCAAGAGAGATCTCAGAATGGACGAGAACCACGAGGCGACGGGGGCGACATCGAGATTGTGGTGTTGGTACAGGACAGCAGCGTACATCATGGCCCTGATGCAGGCTAGCTGCGAGCGCCAATCCGCCTTCTCGAACGCCAAGAAGCTCCGGATCTGTCGAAAGCGCTGGACATGGGCACTGGGAACAAGATGCAGGTTGAGCATGGCAATCGAGTAATGGTTAAAGAGTGACGACCGCTCGTGGTTCGTGGGCGGCCTTTGCCGGGTAAAGTCCATGATTCGGACTGGTGTCATTCTTGAAAAGAGCCTGGACACCATACGGTCTCCACCTTGGCCGGCGCCGGCGCCGGCGCCTTGCTTCAAGTCTCGAGCCGCCCACGCCAATATGCACAGGAACGTTTGAAAGGCGCTTTCACCGCCTGTCCGCTCTGTGTCATCGATCGAATAGAGGGCAGAGTCGTCGTAGCGGTACAAGAAGGGTGCGAAATCGTGTTCTTCGTCCGTCGGAAGATCGGCCAGTCGGTGACTCTCAAAGATCTGAAACAGCGCGGCAAGCATCGCCTCGGCTTCCTGGAATTTCCAGGCAGCACGCTGAGCCAGGAGGAGTATTCTAGCCAGGATGATGCGAATGTAGCCGTCTCGCTTCTTCAGCGCTCGGCTCGACAATTTGCTTTCGACATGGTCGTCAAAGCGGAGCTTGACCGACCCCACCACCTTGCCCACCAGTGACCAATTGGCTTCGAGGGGCGACTTTGTCGAGGAAGCTCCAATGGACGCCGAAAAGCGAGAGAGGGCGCAAAGTGCATAGATGATGAACCAGGTTGCCTCAGCCTGGCCGACCGAGGACCTGGCCTTGGCCGAGAAGAGGGCCTGGTACTGCTGATAGGCTTCGTCGAAAACGCCCCAGAATCGATCCTGCGGATTAAAGCGACACTTCGAGAGGAGATGGATCAAGCAGACCCAAGTCTCTGCACTCTCATCGCGAAACCCCGTCTCATCAACACCGCATGTACTACCGCCTCTCTGGCGCTCACAGGCACCTTTGTAGCCCTTCATCGTCCGATGGAAGCCATGCACAAGCAGGCTCAGCATCACTTGTCGACAAGCCGCATCGAGAGATCCTTCTACATCGTCGTCCTCGTCAAGACCATCGCGTAATCCGTCTATTAGGTCGTCACGGGCGCCATCGAGGCAGAGCGCACGCACCCGCCAGAAGAGCTCGACCTTTGCCCATCGAAGAGTAAGTTGGAGACGGAAGACGTCGCCCTTGTATCGCTTTTGTGATTCGCACAAACCAAGACGCAGCCGTTCGAGTAGGTGATCGATGCGATTGGCGAGCCAATATGCAGTCTTGCGGATGTCCGATGGCGATTCCTGTCCCTCGAGGCTGGACATGGCCAGGTTCAAGAAGCGGAGCAGGTCAGCCGCTCGTGTTCGGATCGTTCTGAGAGGCCATTGCACGTCCTGTTGCGACTCTTGCGAGAGGGTGAGTTGCTTGCAGACCTCATCGAAGATGGCGTCCATTGCCGTTGCCACCTCAGGCCCTTGCCTGCACATGTCGAACGTCGTGGGATCAAAATCGACACCAAAGATGGATGTGAACTGTGGCTTGGGCTTTTTGTCCTCGAAGTGAAGAAGCTCATGAAGCCTTCCCTTGCCCAAGTACGTGTCTGGCGCAAAGGACATGCCCAAAGGAGGCGGCAAAATATCGAAATCGATGCGGACATCGCCCAAGTCGGCCCACGTCTCTGCCTCATCGACTTTGATATGGCCCTGCGGAGATGCGACTCCCGAGCTCTTCGTCAAGTGATCGTCGAGATGTGTCTGGTGAGGGATCCTCATCTTCTTGTCCTTGGTTACTGGCGAGTCCTCTCCTCGAGAAAACCCTTGCAGATTGTGATCCTGGCGGGGCACCAAGGCCGAGAGCGGGAGCCGAGGTTGACGTGTGGCCTTCGTCCCGGCGACTGTCTCTATCATCGTCGGCTCGATGCCGGAAGCCGCTTCAAAGAGACCGTCATCATCAAAAGACAGAAGACGGCGCTGCCTCGGTTCGACAACGGGTGGATTTGACCTTGCAGTTGTGATCCCGCTTGGGATGCCAGTCATCCGAGGCGACCTGGCGGCAGGTCGTGCTTTGGCTACAAAGTTACCTCGCGGTCTGGCTGGTGCCAATGTCCTCTGCGCTTCCGGGCGAGGCATCCGAGCCATTGCCTTTCGAGACTTTGTGCGAGGATTCGGGGCGGGATCACGTTGCCGCCGGTAGCCTCCAGAAGCGTCACCGTGCCTTCTCTTGGTCGTCGTAGCCGCCCGTGTCAGCATCCTGTCGATTTCGTCTTCCCTGACGTGCGCCCTCCTTGACACCTTCTTCCCTTTTCTTGCAGCTAGTCTGCTCTGAGGATAGGTCACCCACCAAGCTGCAAAGCTCTCATCATCGTCTTCCTCTACCTCCTCGTCGCTGGAATCGATGCTTACTGGCCACGCCTCCCCTATGACGTGATGGCGATGATCACCTGGCCCCGTTCGCTGACCATCGAAAACAGACGTCAAGGGCGAGCTCATCCTGCTCCAGCTCTCGTCATCGTGCGACAGCGAACTCGGCGTCGCAAGTGCCGACGGTGAGTTATCTTCGTCCTCGGGGTCGCCCACAAGATCAAATCGGCCATCGTCGACATATTGCCGTCTGTCTACTGGCGCCTTTTTCTTTGCTTGCCCTGGCCTTAGCGAAGGAGAGGCCGATCTCGAGGCATCTTGCCGTTTTCTGTTTCCTTGTGCGTCTTCCTCATCGACCAAAGTAGCCCTTTGACGACGAAGACGCCCACCACCTTCCTCGTACTCCCTGTCCATGGCCTTGACGTCTTCGATGTATCGACGGGCCTGACCGATTGGCATCATTCGACGCAAATATCGAAAGAGCTTGTCGTACTCGGCCGGATCTCGGTTCTTGCGAGGTCCGCCGAGTGGGCCAAGGTGACTGTGAAGATGCGAAGAACCTTCCTCCTCTTCCTCTTCTTCCTCTTCCTCTTCCTCTTCTTCTTCTCCCTCTTCCTCTTCTTCCTCTTCCTCTTCCTCCTCCTCCTCCTCCTCCTCCTCCTCCTCCTCCTCCTCCTCCTCATCTCCTTCTCCCCGTCCGACCTCCCCTTCGTTGACTTCTGCAGCACTGCTTCTCTGTCCATCGGTCTCGTGTACCAAGTCGATTACGTTGTTGGATCGGATCTCGTTTCGATCGCTCAATCGGGCCATTTCGAGATTGGTTCCAGTGTCGTCGACGGCACTATGCTGCCTGTTGCGCAGCATCATCGCCTCTCCCTCGCCACTATCGCTTGTATTGTCATCATCGTTTTCGCCATCATCGGAAGACGACAGAGCTGGTCCGATAATTGCAGTGATTTCCTCTTCAGTTAGGCGCTTCTGTTTGTGCGGCCTCTCTCCTTCTCTGTCCTTGCCCTTGCCCTTGATGCCCCGAGCCAATTCTTCGGGATTCTGTCGTCGCTGTCTTGACCCGTTTCTTTGAGGATCGGCTTTGTCCCGTCGGGCGCGCCTCTGCTTCCTGCGCTCTTCAATGGCTTCTTGTACGAATTGGCTCGCCTCCATATTGGCGGCCTGGGCACCCTCCTCCTCCTTCCTCCTCTCCCTCAGGGCGCGTAGCAAGCTTGGATTGGCCACGAGGGCGTCCTGCCAGTCGTTTCGAATCAGCCTTCGCTTGTACCGTTCCATCTCGGTCGTATAAGGTTTGAGCTGGGCTGCCTTTCGCGCTCGGAGTTGCCGTCTCGGCGGAGGACTCGGAGGAATGGCGATGGGCGTCTGCTCAGCGCGTGTTTGCGCAGTTGCACCTTGTCCCTCTTCAGCCACTTGCTCCTGCCCTCTCTTCTCCTCTGCCTCGTCCGGAGGCTCCAAATCCATCTCCACGTCCACATTCGGGCGTTCAAGAGTCGAGTCGCTGGACAGGCCAGCAGCAGCCTTCTCCCCGCCCTGCGTGATGGTGACTGTCGTTGAGCTTCCTGCGCCCTGCGAAGCGATCCTCGATGGGTAAGCTTCAGCTCGCTCTTGCAGGACCGGCCTCACGAAGCGATGGCGATGCGGCAGTGTTGGACTCGCACTCCTCCTCTCGAGCAACGAAACGTCCTCCCGGCCGTTTGTCCTCTGCCTCCGCCATGTGGACGAGGGGCGATGTTCGACTGGCGAGGCCGACCTGACCCTCTTTGCTCGGTCACGACAGGGAGGCAGCAGCCTGCCTTCTCTCTCTTGCTTCTGCACTGGCGGAGCTGTTGTACCATCAATCAAACTATGCATCGGTAGTGCATCCGAGAACGGCGACAGAACGCCAGTGACGTGCGAGACTACCCCGACAACGAAAGATGAGACGTCGTTGGAGCAGGACGCAGTCGACACATGTTCATCGTGCTGGGTAATGCTTGTCAGTGGAGAAGAGGCCCTTTGCTGCGGCGAAGATGGAAAGGTGAGCGGAACAGTGCTCGCCCGTGATGAGGACGCTTCCTCTTCTCGCTGCTCCGAGTCCCTTGCCTCGCCCCTCTCTTGCCTTGTCGGTGTCGCTTGGGCAGTACCCGTCTCCGTGCCCGTTTCCGCTGCATTGGGATCGTGCAGATGTGTGCCACCCGCCCTCATTGGCACCCATCGTGTGTCAGGCTCGCCGACTTCCACCTTCATCGTCTCCCACTCGTCTCCCACTTTGCAGTCCCGTCGTCAGCGGCGCACCATGAAGGGAGACAGAGAGTTTTTGTAATTATTTTAGGAATTCTTGCGCCCTCGACCAACACTCGATAGGGACAAACGCGTCGCGAGAATTCAGTCATCGACTCAGTCATCACAGCCTTCCTCCACATTCGTCCGATTATTTTAAGGTCAAGCTACCACACACAGGACGAAAGACGCAGCCAAAGTCGCCGTCATCCACCCTTTCTCTTGTAAGAGCGTGACTAATTTAACTGCCAATCCGAATGACAACCTTGCCGGCGTGTGAACCGCTCCACTGGTATTCGTAAGCCTTTTTAGCGTCCTTCCAGTCAAAGACCTTGTCGACGAGGGGTTTGAGCTTGTGTACGTCAATGGCGGCGTTCATCTGCTCGAACATTTCCCTCGATCCGACAAGAATACCCCTGTAGACGGATGTCGTGCCCAACACGAGTGCCGAGAGGTTGGGGACCTCGCCCTTTCCAACGAAGCCAATGTCGCTCACAACGCCACCGGGCCGGATGGTGTTGAAGGCCTTTTCGAGCGTACCTGGGCCGCCGACGTCGAGCACGTGCGCGGCCCCTTCTTCGCCAGACACCTTGAGCACTTCCTTGTCCCAGTCCGGGTTCGTTTTGTAATTGACCGTGGTGAGGAGCGCCTGTTTCTCCTGGGAAAAAAGCTTCCGCACACGGTCCAGCTTTTCGTCAGACGACGATGTGATGACGACCTTTGCGCCGGCGGCAATGGCAAATTGGGCGCCAAAGACGGAGACGCCGCCGGTACCTTCGCACACGACTGTCTCGCCGGGCTGGAGGACATTGGACGGAAGACCAAAGAGACCTAAAGGGAGGGCCCAACCGCAACCGTCAGCCGGAATTATCATACACGGGCGAAGACCCTCCTTAAAAAAACCACTCACCATTCCAGGCCGTCACAGCAGCGCAGGGCAGGGTGGCTGCCTCCTCCCACGAGAGGTGCTGGGGAATGTGGACAAGGGCAGTCTCGGGTAGGGCTCGATACTGGGATAGCATTCCATCGATGCTGCCACCAAGCCCAGTCCGTTTCTCGGCCCGGTTGGGCGTGCTGCCCCGCTGGTGGCCGGCGTTGAAGATGGCTGCGACGCGGTCCTTTGGCTTAAACTTGGTCACGCCCTCCCCCACGGCGACGACCTCGCCTGCGCCATCCGAGGCGGGAATCGTCGGGGCATCTTTTTTATCCAGCGGATACTTGCCAAGGGCGATGATGAGGTCTCGAAAATTGAGGCTGGCCGCCTTGACGGCGACGAGCACCTCGCCCGGTCCGGGCTTGGGCGTAGGGCCCGTCTGAAGCGCAAGGCTGTCGAAGGAGCCTCGAGCGTTGGGCGCAGGGAGTTGCCAGAACTGGTGCTCTTGCTGCGACATGCTAAAGGTTGGATTTTGTACGCTGATGGACGCAAATTAAGGAGGTAGCACTCGTGTGGTGTTAGGTCTCTCAGAGCTGGAAGGTGGCGAATTTAATAGCGTCATTCCCCGGGTCACGGTACCATGAACACCTCTCCACCAAAAAGGTGCTTCTTCCTCAACCGAGGTGGAGGTTTGTGATTTTTCTTTTGGGCCCTGACTGGATAGACAACCATGAACAAATATTCGCATCAACTTCAGCCTCTTGGACTGGATTGCACTTGCATGCCGGTAACAAGCCCTTGTAACCTGATGTTGCAATTTGATTCCATACTTGATGCAGACTCTATCACAGTACAAACATGCCCTTGAGCCTGGCCACCCGACAGGCCTCGAGCGCCCTGCCCACCCCGTCTACGTCGGAAAGCAACGTGACATGACGATGACTTGTCTCCACTACGCCCTCGTCGTTTGTCAGGCCATCTTCGTGCTGCAAGTGATCGGCCCTGACGTCGCCCTTGTGGTGGCCTCTGACTAGCAGCTTGCTCCACTGGCCCGGCAGCGTTGTTGAGCTGCGACGAAGAATAACGCCATCGCCCGGTGCATAGAGCATCCGCGAGTAGTCGCCCGCCCTTGCGCTCTGCTTCCAGAAGTCCTCGTCTTCCTCTTGTCCGGGTGGTCGTGGATTGACGAGGGCACCTCGCACCGTGGGGGTCCTACCTGAAGTGAGGATGGCCATAGGTGGGTACCGACCCTGATCGAAGCGGTCCTCCTTGAAGCCGTTCTTGAGCTCGTCAAAGAACTGCCTCGTCTCGGCCAGCGTCTGTCACAAGACAGAAGAATCACAATCAGCTGTGCCACGTGTAGCGAGGCGATTGCAGGACACCCACCCTCTCCAGGTAGACCCATGAAGCCCTGGCCTCATCATCCTGAGCATCGACGTTATCAGCGCTGTCGCGGTCTTCCTCCTTCACATCTTGGGATGACTTCTTGGTGCCGCTTTCGCGCCGGTTGGCAGGTTGAAGCGTCTGTTGATTGTCGGTGTCTGTGCCAGACACGATCTGGTGGCCTTTTTGAGCCGCACCCAGCGCGGCATCCATGACCGAGGAGCTCGCAACATCCTGCATCGTCCGAGGCATACCTGAAGGAGAGGACGACGAGTCTGCCGACGACGACGACGGCATCATCTGAAGATCGGGTCCAGGGAAAGCGGGCACGTTCTGCGCCCTATCCTCGTACCCTTGCTGTTCCAGCCCCTGCTCCCCGCTCTTGTTGTCGACTTGATTGGGCACCGAGCCATTTGTCAAATTCTCTTCGTGCCTGCCAACCCTCTCGCCCGGTTGCCGGTCGTTTGCCTGCGTCAGCAGACATCTCCCGCCGATCCTCACGCACGGGCTCAGACCGAGCTCATCCCACGTCGCTGGGTCCAGAAAGTCGACATCGTGGGGCTGGCCGTCTTCCTCTTCAAAGCACCTGCCCCCGTCAGGATCCGTAGGCAGGAGGTAGAAACTGGAGCGGAAGCTGAATGTCGCTCTTGGGGAGCAGACGGTGTCATTGAACAAGGCCGCATCGCCAAAGCGAAAGGGCCCGAGGATGTTTGCTGTCCCAAGAAAGGGCGTGCTGGCAAAAACGAGAGAACGAAAGATTTCTGGCTTGTCAGTCCGGCAGAGGGCGTTCAGAGCGACGAGGCCACCCATGGAGTGTGCGACGACGCTCGCGCCCCGTCGATTCTCTTCCTCGGGCGCGCTCTCCTCCCACAGCTTCAGGAGGAAAGCCTGGAGCTGCTCGCTGGCTCTGCCCAAGCTCAATCTCCAGTCGTAGCCCCACGAGTACACGTCAGCGTGCTTAACATCATCAGCACGCTTCTTTCTTGCCTTTTCCAGACCGTGCTGGCACCGCTCTCGGAGTCGCCTGCCCATGTCCACCATGTGGCCAATGCCGCTCAGCATGTCGCCCGGCACAACGAGGCTCTCGGCCTCGTCCTCGTCGGCAATTTCGAGACCGAGCTCCAGCGTGGGCCTCCGCAGGCCGACGCCGACCTTAAGAGGGACCCACATCATTTGCTTTGTCTCTGCATCCCGCAGCACCGAGCCGCGATAGCCGCCCATGATGACGACGTTGCTATCGAGATTGCGGAAGTAGCTGTGACTATTGGGGTCGCGATGAACTGTTGGGATCAATTCGGGCTCGTAGGCGTCGCCTGTCCCATTCGACATCTTTGACTGCTGCTGCTGCTGCTGCTGTTGCTGCATCTCAGAGCGGGCTCTCGACGAGGGGGCAATACCCTGCTGCAGGTCCTCCTTGGATCCAGAGGAAGCAAAGAGACCAAGGCTCGGCAGGGCTGCCCAGCCCGCAAAAATGTCACTCCTCCGCTTGCCTCTATCTGTCTCGCCGTCCTCTGGTACGGTCCCTGTCCATTTGCCCAGCAGACCGCTCCTCTTCACGCTCTCAAAAGGATGAAAGACTGGGTCGGCCAGGCCCTGGACAGATCTCCAACCCGATGAGGCGCCAAAGTGCGTGTCGTAGAATGCCTGCGTCGCCGTTGGATTGCGGTGCGAGGGCTTGACAAAGCCCGTATCTTGCTCGTCCGCTTGCTCTCCCTCGTCTGCTTCGTCGCCATCGTGATGACGTTTGCTGCTCCGCCATGCGAAACCACGGGCGGGGTACTTGGAAGATGAGGGCGCCGGCTCCAGCTTGGGCCTCCTCATCTGAACCGAAGAAGATCTCGAGTGCAAACTGCTTGGCAGACCCGGCCGAGGATCGACGTCGTAGAGGATGGGCGCGGCCAGCTCTTGACTATCATCTCGTGCAATGTCCACTGACTTTCTCCGGGCGTCTCCATCTTCGTCGTCGTCGCCTCGCAGGCCCTTTGGTCTCGCCGAAACACCGACCCCAGGACCGGGAGAGGAGGGGTCCGACGTCGTTCTCAATCTCTGCAGAGACCCTTGCCCAGCGGTGACGAACCTCTGCAACCCCTCAGTGTCATCGTCGCCATCGCTCCTTTCGTCTCCCTCACTCAGGTCCATGGTACGGACAGCAGGCAAGCCTCCTGCCTCCGGCGCCAGAGCTTTGTCTGCCTTCTTTTTTGGCGACCCAGTGACAGGCCACCGCATTTGCATCGCGGGCATCGCGGGCAGCCTGGGGATAGAAAACGAGCCGGCCCTCTTTGGTGTCGAAGATGGGGGAGTAGACCAACCTCGCTCGGCTTCGGGGATGAAGCGCGAATGGCTTTTCTGACCTCCGCCACTGCTGGCGGTTGTCTTCATCTTGAAACCTCCGCCTCCTGTTGCCCCTCCTGGTACGCCGGACGATGGCGGCGAGCTGCTACCCATGCTGGTACTCCACGGCTGAGCAGCTCTGTAAGAGAGATGCGAAGGCGAGGGAACCGCAGCCTTGCTATAGATTTATAGATCTGGAGACCCCTGGACACACAGACAGGCTAATTGCTGCAGAAAAAAAAGGTTCTCGTTTCTGCACAGGAACAAGAGATGGACGAAAGCGTAACGCCCCTGGCCCGGACCTACTCCCTCCACTCGGATCTCACCTCCGAAAAACATCAACAAAGAAAGAAGCCGAATTTTTATTCATCGTCACGATTCGGCCAAGGATGAGCAAGCGAAATGAAAGTAGGATAGCAGACCAGGATACAAATTCGACTCCGAGGAGTTCCGGTAGAGAGCACAGACAAGCCGAAGTAGGTTCATGAGAGGGTTCAAGTGTTAGGCCATCGGAAAAGGAAAGAGCAAAGAGGAAGTCAAGAACAGCGTGACGCGTGACAGAAGCAGCTAAGTCAGCCAAATCTTTGGCGGGAATCGTTTGTGGAGGGAGGATGAGATTGATGGAAACGCGACGTGGTCTGTCTGTCCTGTAGCGCTTAGCCTGCACGCGGAGCCAAAGCCACGGTAGAAGCACAGATGGCTGATCTTAAGACATGGCTCGGTGGGCGTAGCGAAGGGCGTCCGACGAAGAGGAGAAAAGGTCAAGATGATGACGACGGCGGCGGCGGCGGCAGCGGTGACGACGACGATCTGGGAAGAGCCATTAAAGCCTCTAAGCTTGAGGCGCGCGTTGCAGAAATGGACGAGGAGACGATGCTGAGAGAGGCCATAAGATTGTCGGAGGCCGCTGTGGCCGTACCTGGCCGTCCGATGGGCGAGGAATCGGCGAGCGAGGTTAACAAACCATCTCCGAAGAAAAAGGTCGATCCCTTTCAGACATCTCAACTCAGCGACCATACCGATGCGTCGCTCCTGCTCGAGTGGCCTGATTCATCCTTCTCGTCGAAGCCTGCCGAAATGATCAACAAGCTTGAGGGCAGCCTGGACTTGCTCTACTTCAGGCGATGGATCAACGCGCATGCACGCCAACATCTGCGCAGCTGGCTTTTGTCCAATCTGGCTTGGCACCGAGTCAGCTATACGCGGCCAAGCACCAAGCAACGGATCGTCACGCCTAGATTTACAGCCACCTTTGGGCGAGACGAAACCGGTGCGGACATGGCGAGGTACCCTGTCAAGCCAAAGGAAATTCCCCAAGTCCTCGGGACACTCATGAAAAAAGGTAACGTCTCCTTGTTTCATGCCGCAAAAAAAAAGGGCGAAGACTTATTGATGGCCGTGTCATCTAGTGGAGGAGCAGACGAGTGCACGTTACAACGCCCTCATCATCAACTACTATGCCGATGGCACCGACTCTATGTGAGTCGGTCCACTCTGACTCACTCATCCTTCCACTGACTGACAAGAGACCAACGATAGCTCGTATCATAGTGACGACGAGTCATTTCTTGGACCTCTTCCCACCATTGCTTCACTCTCGCTTGGCTCTTCGCGCGATTTCTACCTACGCCGAAAGGCGCCTGCAGATGTTGAGATCCCCCCTGCTTCGACCAAATCGTTTAGCATGGGCACAAAGGGCCACGGGCCCGCTGCTTCCCGACCGACGGAAAAGATGACACTGTCTGACGGCGATCTCGTCGTCATGCGCGGCCGGACGCAGAATGAGTGGGAACACTCAATACCCAAGCGGGCAAATGCAGGCGGCAGGATCAACATCACCTTTCGTCGTGTCATGACGGTCGCGGGGACAAACAGTAGGTCGCTTCGTCTCTCAGAGAAGGGGAGAAAGAACAGTACTGATGACCGCACGACTAGACTTCCAACGATATAATCGGGGTCTCCCATCCGATGACGACACAAGAGTATACCGCTGGGACTCAAGGGAAGGGAGAATGATGCCTGGCTCCGGGGGTCTTTAAAAGGATGATGTATGATGCTGTATTTCTCTCTCACTCGCTTTCGGAACTGCTGTAGAAATAAGTATGTCGACGCAGACGTATGTGTAATAGCCGCCTTGTTGGTACACGTACGATCCTTGACCTCCAGGTTCTGGCTGCTTGTTACTTTCGTCGAGCAACATACACCTGCTGGCCGTCGTTGATGAAACACTTCTGCACGTCGCAGCGTTGACTCGCCGTCGTCCATCCTCAGCTATTTTACAACGGTCGCGTCAAAGCGCGCTACGTCACGTGATTATCAATGGCGATGCTCCATCCACCTTCCCTTGCACTTTCTTAGCACCGATCCTTTCACCAGGGCCTCCCGTGCAGGAGGAAAGGCCAAGATGCCGACCAAAGACTTGTCCTACCCTGGCTCGTCTTCGTCGAAATATGCTCAGGGCCACCTGCAGCACGCCACGCTGCAGCTGCTCGCCTCTGCCGGCTTCTCTCGTTGCTCATCGCAGGCCACTGCGATGCTGGCGGAAATCCTGCAGCGCTACCTGGCCCTCGTCGCGAGCACCGCGGGCCAGTACGCCTCGCATTCGGGGCGGGTAGAGGGCAATGCTTTCGACATCAGGACGGCGCTCTACGATCTGGGTACCGACCTAGAGGACGTCTATTCGTGGATCGTCGATGGCGATGGTCGCAATGTGGCAGGCGTCAGCTCATCATCATCATTATCTTCTTCCTCCTTTGCTTCTGCCTCTTCATCGACGATACCGCCGCAGGACGACGCAGCGGCTGCGTCGGAAGGACCATCGATTTTGAGCGCAAAGGATCTCGGCGAGCGCTTGACCCGCGGCAAGCTCTCGAAGTCGTCGAAGCCGAGAGCGAGAATTCGCTACCAGGCGATTAGCACAGAGAAGATCCAGGACGAGCTCTCGCTACAGGTCCAAGAGGCAGACGAGTTGGGTGGAGGGAATGCTGTTGATGATGCTGCAGAGCGCAGCGAAGAACATCGTGGTGTGAATGGGACAGTCAAGGAGGAAGAAGAGATGGATGTCGACGTAGAAGGACCGCGTGAACGAGAAGCAGAGTATCAACAGCGCCGGTGTGAGGAGCTACCATATCTTCCCGACTTCCTACCGAACATACCTCAAACACGAGGGCCGGAAGAACATGGCCAGATCCTCGAAGAAGATTTCGTCAAAATGGATGGCGAGTTTGCGAGAGCACGAATGGAGAGGCAGAAGGCCGCCGACGAAAAACGACAGGAGGAGACGAGGACGGCTGCAGAGCTAGCACAACAGCAAGCGTCGCGCTCGACGGTAATAGCGGATCCAAAGACGGCGGAAGAGGAGGCGAGGCAGCGGGAGGCAGCCGAATTTGAGGCGCTGGCCGGTCCACCAAAGCCGAGGAGGGTGCTGCGCGATCCATGGCGCAGTAGCGTTGCCTTTTCCGACTCGACGCTGGCGTCCCAGCAGAGCATCGACGACGTGCCGGCCATTGACGATGGACCAATGGAAATGGACGAATTTGTTCCCCCCACCGAAGAGAATTTGGGCCCCAAGTCTTCACTGCGAGCCTTTGCAAACGACTATCGAACGCTGGTCATGGAGGCGCACAATAGCACAGGAAGCAATCTCTTGACACAGCCGGGCCCCAATTATGTCCGCCAATCTTCGAAACGACGGACGATCGCCTCGACGATGGCTGATCCTGGCAAGTTTGCACCGACCGACACTCTGTTTGCGAGTGTGCCGTGTCGACCGTCTGCCATCCCCTTCAATCCTGGTCCCTCCCTTATGATTACGCCTCCCACAGCGACAAATCCGGCACCCACATTCACCTCTACGCACCCACATGGCCGTCCCGCTGCGCTGATTCCCAGCTCGGGCGCCCTAGTCCCTTCGCTGCGTTATCGCCATGCCGATCGGACCGCCAACGCCGCACGTCTCGTTGGCGACGGTGAGGTGCTGAAGCGCGTGACGAGGTGGACCGATCCGCCTCCCGTGCTCGATGAGCAGCATGCCGAGCGCGTCTTTCACGGCGCTCCTGCCTCCAAGGACCTTCTGCATGAGCGACACTCGTTCCTACGAGCTGCGCTCGACACTCTTCTGGTCAAGCAGCAAGCTGATCGACAGAGAAATGCTGCTGCGCAGGCCGCTGCCGCCGCTGCTGCAGCAGCAGCTGAGGCGGGTGACGAAGCAGCGGCAAAGGCAGCGGCAGATGCAGCAGCGGCAGCTATCGAAGCGGCCAATGTGACATCGTCCTCGTCTCCGGATGCGCTCCTGATGCTGAGCAAGAGCGAGAAGAAGGGCCCTAAATCCGCCACGCTGGTCCATACCTGGGACTGGCTGCCGCGCGATCCGCTGGACGCCACCTTGCCCGCCAAGAGGCTCAAGGGCATGCAGGGCGTCTACCTCAGGGGCCCCAATGCCCAGCTTGGTCAGTCGCAAGGACAGGGCCAGACACCCACCTCGGCCGTTGCGACGCCTGGCGGTGGCGAGAGAGAGAGGAGCGTCAGCTTCAGCTTGCCGACGCACCCCAATGCCACACAGCCACAACCATCCATGTAATACTAGACACTGCATCGCGCACAGCATTATTTGACGTTCTTGGACAATCTTTATTATAAGGGGCTCATGATAAAGCATCGCGCGTCACAAGCGAACAAGAGAATAACGGGACCACTGGATGAAGATGAAGGCAAGCAGCGCGAAACACATCTTGAGAGAGAAGTGGACGTGGTCAAGTCTGCGAGCCCTTGTTGCTGTAGTATCGGTTGAGGGGCTCCTCGGCCGCTGCACCCGTCGTCTGGGGCGACAGTGCAGGACTGGGCCCACCACCGAGAGAGGTACCCGTGCCACCCCCTCCAAAAGGGTCGCTCTCCGTTGAAGCAGTATTGTGGCTCCAGTTCGATACCCTTCGAGCCGAGCTGGACCACGGCTCCTCGTCGTGGTAAGCACCTGTCGTGCTGGGCGAAAGCAAGCGACCATTGCTGCTCCTTCGCTGCATGTCCTCGTTGCCAATCGCGGTGCTGTCTTCCTCGAAGTGGGTCCAAGGCCCATGCTGGTGCCTGTCATGCTCCTTTCTCCCTTCACTAGCTCGCATCTTGGGACTAAAGTCCCAATTTGCTCGATGGTCGTTGCCATCGTCGTCGCCAGCGTCGTGGCGTCCATCATCCGACAGAGCATGGGGATAGTGGGTGGTGACAAGGATGTCTTCCATGTCCATTTCGCTCTTGGAAGCGCTGCCCTCCTTGACGTGCGAAAGTTGCTTGCCGTGCTGGTGGACCTCGTCAACGCCGTCACCCGAGACTGTTTGAAACCCCTCGGTATCTCTGGTCTTGCCCCTGCCGCTCTTGAGGAAGCTCGAAGGATTGACCTTCCATCGCGACGAAGAAGAAGTGCCGACATCCTTGTCCTTCTCCGATGCCGAGTCCTTTATGCTGTTGCTACTGCTCCCATCGTTCTTGAAAGAGGATGTAGATCGACCCAGTGAGACTCCTAGAGAGCCAAAGCGGCTCTTGCCTTTGGCACTGTTGCTGCCACTTTCGTCTTCCCTTTCTGCTCCTATCAAAACGTCTTCCTTTTTTGTCTTGGGTGACAAGGACGTCTTGCTGCTCATTGGTCCTCCTTTGCTGTCTTCACGCGTGAGGAAAGATGAGCCACGAGCGACGATGTTGGATGCAGAGCGGGTGTGAGGCAGCAGAGGTCTCTTCTGGGCATTGTCCACAGGCGTCGGGGTTGCAGCAGCGGCGGCAATGGGCACCTTCTTGATCCGAGGCGAGGACTGGGCGCGTTCCCTCTTGCCTTGCCCAGTTTGAACCCCCTCCGTGTTGCTCCTTGGAGCTAAAGGACGTCTAATCGAAGACGCAAACGAGTCAATCCCTCTGCCACTGCCGATGCCCGCTGCTCTACCATCGCCGTACAGAGCCTTCTGAGCGCCGGTGAGGATCTCCCGCTGGGCGTCGAGGTACTCCATCTGAAGGCCGACATAGGCCCCTAAGATGTTGACACCACAGTCTGGGCCAGACTGCTCACTGCCCTGCAGGAGGAGGGCGCGAGTCTCGAGATCAACATTTGCTTGCTCACTTTGTGAGCACATGACAGAGAAAGGGAAGGCGACGTCAGCCAGAAGAGATCATGCTATGAGCTGCATACAACTCACTAGGCTGCCCTCGTCTGGCGGGCCTCTTCTTGCCTCTCTCTGCGTTCCTTGTCGCCCTTTGCCTTTCCCAGCCTCTTTTCTGCCATCTCCATCTTCTCCTTTGCATTCTCCAGACCCTTCTCAGCGGTTTTGAGCGCATCGATCGAGGCCTGACTCCGTGCCAAGTTGGCCAGAAGCGAGTCGCTGAGCTTTGTCGCAAATTGCTCCTGGATCTGTGCCAAGGCTAGATGGACCGCAGAGAGGTGGACGAGGTGAGATGCGTACTCCTCGTTACGTCCAAGAATGACATGGTTGGTCGTATTGCCCTTGCGATCGGGCTTCAGATAAACGGCGGCGCAGCTGGCCATGGCGATGCCCAGTGCGCCAATGGGAAATGCCTTGTCCTTGATGCTGGCCTTGGACGTGGCCAGCGCCGCGGCGGCATCGCGTACGTGGGACGAAGCGCCGTCCAGGAGGTCATCGTGCGTCTTGAATGCCTCGTCGAGGGTCATGGACATCTCCAGCAGCTCGGCATGCGAGAGCTCGAAGGGTAGCGTCTTCTTCTTGCCTGGCGTTTAAAGATCAGAGGGAGCTCCAAGAGCAAATGAGGGGGATAGAAAGGGGATAGACAGAAGCTCGACTCACTCATGTGGCTCTGGTAGGCCTCTGCAGCGACGTACAGCTTCTCGTTCGTTTGCCTTCTCGTCTCGATATCGTTCGCCAGGCTCCTATCTTTCACATTCGAGCCCGTCTGCTGCAGCGTCGCTGGTGGCGACGTCTCTGGGGAGCTAGGTGCATCTTCGTCGGCGTGGCTCGTCGAAGCAGTCGCAGCTGCTTCTGCCGATGCCGGGTCACTTGCGTTATTCTTGCTGGATCCCCACTAAGACCGTGTCTCTTGCATGAGCGCGCGCAATGTCATACAGTACAGCTCCGTTAGACATCATCACCCACCAGCTTGGAAAGACGGCCCGCGGGGAGCGACGGCATGGCGCGAGACGGAGAGGCAGCGACGTACAAGCAGAAGATTCAGGCGCGCAGGTTCGGAGACAACTACGAGGGCTCGGAGACGGTGGGCGAGCAGCCGGTCGACAGTTGCGAGCCGATGGTCTGAATCTGGAAGTAAAACCCCGAGCCACTGATCTGTTCTGGCCCAAGCCTTGCCGTTTGGGCACAGCAGCTGCCGCCGCCCCCCATGGGCACTTTTAGTCTTAAATTTAAAGCTCGCCACACGTGGAAAAGCTCTTCGACGTGGCCCTGTGGCTTTATTTCCTCTTGGCCTGCAGGAGGAAGTTCGGCCGTCTTTCCGTTATCTGCAGCCTGCCTGGGGAAGAAAAAGGTACGAGTCAGGAAGATTCTTCTTCCTGCCACCACATCGCCATCATGAATGCCGTCCACTTCAAATCCGTGGAGCTAGTTGACTTTGACAAGGTCCTGGGAACCACGTCGACTGAGGTGTCGAGCGTCGCTCTTGGAGGACGTATCCTGGCATGCAGCGACGAGTGGTTTGCTCCGGCCTCGGACCTCCTCAAGGTGAGCTCGCTCGCGCAGGAGTGTGTATAAGTGTGAGGTTCTCATGCCATACCTGCCTTTTCAATTACCAGGTCGGACCTGCGCCTTCGCTCAAGGGGCAATTTGGGCCAAAAGGAGCTCTCTTTGATGGGTGGGAGACCCGCAGGCATAATCCTACCTACGACTGGGTCACCCTCCGCCTCGGGCCGGCCGCTGGAAGCAATATCATCGGCTTCGACGTCGACACGGCTAACTTCAACGGAAACGAGGCGCCAGAGATCGAGATCTTTGGATTGCGGCTGACGCCCGCCGAGGAAAAGGCCGGCGCGGCCCCTGGGCACGACGACGCTAGGGTGAGACATGTATGCCCCTCTTCTCCCTTAACAGGCGTGCTGACGCTGCATGCTCAAAAGTGGACGCAACTGATTGGCAGGGTGCCATGCAATCCATCATCGCGGCACCTCTACGCAACTGCCAATGGCGAGACCACTCCGATCTACACGCACGTCAAGCTTCACATGATCCCAGATGGCGGAATTGCCAGATTCCGCGTCTACGGCACGGTGCCCCCGCCGCCTGTGGGTCTCGGCGTCAATGAACACCCGTCGGCGACCGAGCAAGGAGGCACCGACGAAAACCTCAATGTCCTTGATTTGGCTCACGTGCTCAACGGCGGTCGTGTTGTCTTGTAGGTGGCCCATCCTCGTTTGTTAAGAAGAGAGAGCAAAGCAGCTGATCGCACGTATGTATGGGCAGCACGAGCGATCAGCACTTCGGCATCGGACCAAATGTTCTTCTGCCTGGCCGGGGAAAGGACATGGGAGACGGCTGGGAAACGAAGCGTTCGCGAGCACCAGGACACAGGGACTGGCTCATCATCAAGCTGTGAGTCAACTTGGACAGGAGCAATCAGTGGCCTTGACGTGTGGCTGACGCTTCCTGCAAGCGGCGAGCCGGGCTACCTGTCGTATGCGGAGGTTGACACGATTCACTTCCTCGGCAACTTTCCCGAGTCGGTCGAGCTTCACGCCACATCTTTCGACGGCCAGCTTCCTCCCGAAGACTCGTCGGTCGAATGGACCTCGATTCTGCCCCGAACAAAGACCGGGCCCGGCAAGCAGCACTTTTTCGGACTGTCGCAGGTCGAGGGCAGAGCATACACGCACGTCAAGGTGACGATGCACCCCGACGGCGGCATCAAGCGGGTCAGGCTCGTGGGTAGGCGTGCAGGGCCACTTGCAAACCGCGCCGCAAAAGATTTGCCCGCGGTTCCCGTCCCTGGCTCGCTGGACAAGGACTTGCCAACGCACCCAAATAATCCACTGAATGCCATCACCAGTGCGGCCACGGCGGCTGGCGCGACCCTCGCCGGCTTCATTTCAGGTTCATCTGCCGGTTCCAACGTTGGCCACACGATGAAAGAGGCCACCAAGACGCCTGCGGGCGTGGCGCTTCTCAAGGCCAAGCCGCTCACCCCCGAGGCCTACGCTACCTTCGGTGACGTCGTTGGCTCTCCCCAAGCCAGCGGATTGGAGCAGGCCGCCCAGTCGTCATACAAGACGGTGAATCAAGGGACAGCGGCCAAGTACGCTAGCCAGTCGCTCGTCAACAGCACCTACCCCATCTCAGCCGAAGCACAGACATGGCTACACACCTACCGGTGCAAGGCTGTCGAGCAGCTTCCCTTCCCCGTAAAGGTCCTCGAGAGGCACCGCTTCACTTCGCAAACTTTCTTGCCGCTGGGTGCCGCGTCAGGCGACAAGCCAACAGCTGCCTACCTCGTCATTGTTGCCGCCAATGGGCCCGACGACAAGCCAGACCTGTCGACGCTGTCTTGCTTCTCGGCAAACGCCTCACAGGGCATTACCTACCGCGCTGGCACCTGGCATCATCCCATGGTTGCTCTCGGAAGCGGTCAGACTGATTTTGCTGTCGTCGTCAACGAAAGCGACAAGGAGCCCGCGCTCAACTGCGACGAGGTCTACTACGACGACGCCGTGGCGGCCGTCTCTCTCTGATGCATATAAAAGCGAGGGTATGCCCTTTGCTCCAATCTGCCCTTTTTCTCATAGACCACGTTATAGACAAAAGTGGCATCAGTCTGTCGCAAGGCTGTGTGATGACTGCGAAATTCGAAATTGATGCAATTTCCTCCAGCATGTATAAAGAAGAGTAGCTCAATCTTGGTGGTTCGCCGCCTTCGTTATAGCTGAAAAAGTCTTGCCCTGGTACGAGACGTCGCCGCGAAGTGGCAAGACTAGCCTCCTCCTCCTAAGTCGGCGCTCTTCGGCCTTGACACAGACGCCGCAGCCGCCTCATCGCTCGGCGTTCTTCTGGCCCCACGATTACTGTTCGACTGCTGTGATTGCGCCTCAAGGTCCTGTGGCACCGCCTTTGGTCCCCTTCTCGGTCTCCTCGCCGACGCCGGTTGCGACAAGCTCCTTTTCCTGGGTTGAGACGGAGAAGCGCCGCCACCAACACCACTGACACTACTTGGGACACTCCCCTGTGGCTGCGATCCAACAAATGTCCCAGCCGGCGAACCAGATGGGGGCATGCCGCCCACGGTTAATATCGTACCCGGTTTCGGCGGCGTTGTGGCTAGCAGGAGGTAGTGGCCCGCCGAGAGACCGGCACCGACACCGATGGGCGTCGCGGTGCCGGTCCCTGCGCTTCCGGTGCCTACGCCAAGGAACGATCTTCGCGCATTCGCTGAGCGCAGAGGCATACTGCTCGTCGATGTCAGGCTCGTCGATGCTGCTGCTGCTGATGCTGCGCCCTGTCCTGATCCGGGACCGAGAGGCGTCGCGCCAGGTCTGGAGACGGGCACGGCAATTTGCACCCTGGGGCTTGCAACTTCCTTCGCCGGGCTTGTAAAAAGAGCTTGTTGCTGAGACGTTGTGCCCAACACGACTGTATCCGACTTTGTCCTTCCTGGTGTGAGGACCTGGACATTCTGTGGACGGATGAAGTGTTCCTCCTCCTCTTCATCCTCCTCTTCCTCCTCCTCTTCTTCCTCTTCATCTTCACCCTCATCGCCTCGAGCCTTATCGCGGGTAAGGGTAAAGACGCCGGCAAACGTCGTCAGGCATCCAAAGAGAAAGTTGATGAGCCGGTGGGGATCCATGTCGGCGAAATCACGGTACAGAACTGCGGAACCGACGATGGCCGAGATGGTGAAAAGGACAAACTGCGTAGGCTACATGACTCGTGGGCGTCAGCTTGTTTTGAGATGATGAGAGAGGGCTACAATCGAGCCAGAGGAGCAACTCACAATAACCTCACGAGAATCGAAGCGCTGGAGCGCTCTATTTAGGTAAGTGATTTGCGCAACCGCGGTACTGACGAGCACTATGACGAGACCGTAGGTGATGGGATACCGAATGAGATCAAAGGGATTGCCCCGAGAGAGGAGCGAAGAGAGTCCTTTCGTCGAAAGCACGGTGAAGCCGCCTGTGTATGCGAATGCCATGAGCTTGGTCAGGTCACAATGGTAACGAGGAGGAGGAAACGTACCGAAGATTGCACATACGCCGACATCGATCAGGATCAAGCGCTGTCCCCACCGAGTAGTGCTGCACCAGACTAAGACGGCGGCAACGACAATGGCGACGATGCTATAGGCGATAAATGCGCTTGTCCGGATGGCGTCCCACAGCTCGTCTGGTCCAAGTCGGGCATCGTTTTGCTTGGAGGAGAAGACGACAGTGACTGCACCGATGATGGCCAGGAGGATGCCGCCAATGTCGGAGGGCAGGAAGCGCTCGTGTAGAAGTACGGGCGAGATGAGCACGTTGGAAAGGAGCGCAACGGCACCCAGGGGAGCCACGAGTGAGGCTGGCGCGAATCCGTATGCTGACCAAGGGTCGTGTATGCATCAGCACCCTCGTTTCACCCCAAAGCGGCGTGATGTGCAACTCACAGAGAAAGTTGCCAAACTCGCCTACGACCATCAAGCCCATGCCAAGCCACCACAACTTGCTCCTGAGGAATTTGGCTGTCGGACCGGGCGTCTCGCCTTCTTCCTCCTCTTCCCTTTCCTCTCCCTCTCCCTCTTCATCATCTCCTTCTTCGTCTCTTCCCAGCTCTCCCCCATTTTCAATGACTGCTTGACTTTGGCTGGTGTGAGAGGGTCGCTTTGAATGCTTTGCTTTTGAAGGATACCTCCCATGTCCGCCATTCGTCAACGAGCCTGACCGGCTCCTGTTGCGCTTCGTCGATACCGAGGAAGAGGAGGACGAAAGGGAGTCATATGCGCTCTTTTTCGAGGGACTCTTCAACAGACGACTGGTCTCGTCGTCTGCTTCTGACGACGAAGAAGAAGTAAGTGCAGGGCGATGCGACTGCTCCACCTCGTCCTCGTTCTCGTCCTCGTCTCCGCTCTTTGCACCGTCGTGCGTTTGCGCCTCTGCCTGCCCTTGCTCCTGCAGACGGAGGTGGGCGAGCTTCTGGCAATTGAGCGCCAGTGAGATGAGGATGTTGCCGCCGAGGGAGATTGCGACGCCGATGAGGGAACTTCGCGACGATGATGCGTCTCCCCCCTTGGCCAGCACGACGGCCGACAGCAAGTCCATCTTGTGTCGTCGAAGCGGTCCGGCGTTCTCACTTCTCGGGCCTGCGATTCGCGCTCATTTAGAGGCGCGCTCGTTGGCCCATGCGCGGGCGAGTGCGATTCACCACGTGCTCTCCCACCGCCTCTTTTCCCCACTTATGCCACTAAAGGAATGTCAAATGAGGAAGGCGATCTAAGGAAATTCATGCGGGAGAAGGCGGCGCAATAGGAATGATTGCATGAGCGGATGAGTGCAACACCATCCAGCAAGAGGATTACGCGCTCATGACGATGAAAAAGGAGAGAGAAAATGCCCCTCCAAGCATCCTGTAAAATTCTGAACACGACCAGACGGTAGTGGCTGCTTCGATGGTGCTCCACTAGAAATTGCTGCAGGGTGTAACATTAATTCGGAGTAATTGTAGTACTGCTGCTGCTTCTTGTTGTAGTCTCCACACCTCGACTGAGCGCTTGCTGTATTTCCGGGCCGAGGGCGGTCATAAGCAAGCAGCTTACGGAAATGTGATAATATTGTGGGAGCATCTGTCCGCCAAAGGATGGCTTGATTGGCAACTTCCGTCGTAGGGAAAGTTGAAGATGGACGGGCAAGCACAGGGACGGTCCGAGCGTGGTGCCGACGAGAGCACGCCGCTGCTGCGAGAGCTCGTTGCGAGCGATGCGCAGGAGACACACCTATCGCCGAGCAGCGCCAACACCGCAGGGAGCAGCGCGTCGCGGCAGGTTGCTCCAGATCTTCTTCGCGGCCTCCTAGTGGCCCTCATGGCCATTGACCATACTTCATTCACAATGGGCGCATATCCGCACGGTACCAGCATCCACTCTGAGGCGGCTGCACAGGTCGTGACAAACTTCACCGATGCCCTTCCGTACACCCTGAGGACCCTCACCCACCTCTGTGCTCCCGGGTTCACCATGCTCATCGGCTTGGGCCTCGTCTACTTTAGCGCCAGTCGAGTACGACAGGGGTGGACCGTTGGCCGCCAGATCCGCCACATTCTCGTCCGCGCGCTCTTCATCATCCTGGTCAATACCTTTTCCATTCAGTTCTTCGCGTCTGCCTCGGGGCGGTTGTATCTGCTCAATGCCGTACTCTGGGCCCTGGCCATCGACTACGTTATCGTGGGCTTTTTGGGGCTCTTCATTGTCGTCTCACTCGAGCCGCTGCTCAAGCGGAGCTTCGCCAAGCTTGTTGGTGCTCGCCCGAGCTCCTCCATGACGACGGACGAAGAGCAAGAGCGGGTAGAAGAGAGAGCAGCCGACATGGCCTGGCATACCGTCAATTTCGGTCTGCTTCTTCTCTCTGCGCTCGCCCTCTGGGTCAACGTCTGGACGTCGCCTCACCAGGGAGAGTGTCAGGTGGCAATTACGGCATCCGATATGGCCTCGACGGTGCCGTCCTGGGGACTGATGTCTGCGGTTGCGAGGCCGATGGCCGATGCCCAAGACCGATGCGCTTCGCCGTCCAAGGTTCTCTGGGACTTTATCTTCCAGCAGGGTGAGTCGCTCCTGGGCTTTTCTTTTCTTCTGTTTCGTCTTTGATGCCTATCTTAACCGATTCTTCGGTCCACAGTCAATTGCCCGGGCATCATGTCTGGCTTCCCACCCGTCGGATGGCTCTCCTTTGTTCTCTTTGGCTACCTCTACGGTCGCATTCTCATCAACGGCGGTCTTCTGCGCAATTCTGCTCCTCTCACTACACCACGCAAAGCCAGCCGGACACACGCCATTATCATCCTCAATCTCGTTATCTCCATCGTCTTTGCGCTCCTCTTTGTCTCGACGCGCCTCCTGCAGTATGGCAACCTCTCGACGGGCTGCCTGCACACGCCGGCCCAGGCTGCCTCGCCGTCGTCAAAGAATGCGTACCTGGCTTCCTTTCGCTCCTTTCTCTACATTGTCAAGTACCCACCGTCGCCTGCCTTTGCCTTCGCCACGCTCTCTGCCTGCTTCCTCCTGCTCGCCCTCTTTGGTCTCCTCTCCAGCGGCTCCCTCTCGGCGGTTGCGGCCAGCCTCATGACGAGCCCGCACAACCCGCTGCTCGTGTATGGCAACCAGCCCCTCTTTTTCTACGGCATCCACTTCCATTTTCTCAATACCTCTCGCTTCGCCCTGCAGCGCCTCGCGCCGTCCCTTTTCAAGCCCCAGGATCCAGCGTGGGCGCGCGACGGCCTCGGGCTCGGCCTCGGCCCAGCCTTTTTCGCAGTGTACGCCGCCTGTCTGGCATTCACCTACGTGACGTGCAAGTGGTACGCCGGCTGGAAAAAGACTGCGGGAAG